ACAAATCAAGTGAAATGTGTGCAATTCTGCTCAGAGAAACTCAGAGACAAAATAAATAAAAAAAAAAAAAAAGAAAAAAAAACACACTAGCATTGACTGTGAGACTGACCAAAGAATAAAACTCATGTCAAAACCTTATGAAACATTACTCTAAATAGATTTTGCACATTTGTGTTCTAAATGTGAGCTACACTGCTGTACCTATGTAGGTTTTGGTCACTTTGTGGGATGTTTAAATCTGTGAAGGTGGAACACATTCTTATGTAACAAGTAGTTATGTGACATTTTTGGTCATTATGCTTTGGGATGCCATTCTAATTTTATGTGCTTCCAGTCTTTCACTTGCTGATATGTCACTTCTTTGCTACAGGGAGTTCCCAGCATCTCTGTTAATATACCTTTGCTGAATGGCGTTTGCCTTGGGATCTAGTATTTTCTCCAACAACTTAACTAAGGAGCGTGATCTTCCATTACAACATGCTGCAATGTTTCATGATGTTACAGGACCTCACAAAGAAGTGTTAAGAACTTCACACCATGATTTCTCTTCGATAGTACCTTGTCTCCACAAATTCTGGTCTTACCACCATCACTTCCAATTTTCTTTTTCCATCAAGTGTGACTGACACTCAAGGACGGAAAACAACAGTCATTCTCAAGTTCCTGAGCAAAGTCACCTGGCATGGATTAAGGTAGCCAAAGGATAATATTTAACTATTGAATGGCATCAGTATTCTCCAAGTTATGTCTGTGTGGATTTGACTAACTTTTAAGAGGAAAGTGTTTCAAAAGTAAACTCATTCTGTCTCTAATTCATTTGTCAGCCACTTCTGCACAGTTAAAAACAGCTCTTTTCTTTACACTACACCAGACACATTCATTTTCAAGAGTTATAATTAAATGTCTAAAAATGCTTAAATATTGGCAAACGAGCAGTAAATGTAGCCATAGTATTTTCTGTTCCCTTTACTTCTAAAATATGCTCATTACTAAGCAAACAGGTAAGCACTGAACTACAAAACATTTATCAAGTAGCAAAGTTCAGTCACTTCAGAGATCACAAGAGTTATACTTTTCTGTTTATTTACTGTCTGTTGCCTTAGACCACAGAGCATTTTGTAAATTCAGCTCACAACTCTTCATGAGGAGCCAGAGGCAACCTCTTCAATGCAGCATGCCTTGAGCAGGAAGCCTTGTCAGCAACTCGTTTCTTTGTTACTCCTTGACTGCATCTCAAAGTCATTTTAAAACAATATATTTTTTGTGCTTATTATGTCCACAAACTGTATTGTCTTACAATGGTCAACAAATGACAAGCAAGGGGACAGCTGTTACCTGGGAAAGTAAGAGCCGGATACCTCAAAATTATCCTCACGCAGGAACCATTTACAGAATCTTTTATGAGGAGGTCTGACAGAAACACTACTCCCAACAGCATTAATGTCTTAAAACTTTCCCACCGGACCACTTATCCACAAAAAACAAACAAACAAAAAAAAATTTTTCATTCCAAGAATGCTTTTATTCAAAGCAATGACACTATTTATCCTGTTAGCTATTACAAAACCACTGCCATCTGAACAACCCAGAGATATCACTGAGGAGATAAATTCATCCATCCTTTTTGAAATTCTGAAGGAAGTTTCTAAAATGTGGGCCTCTCTGCTGGACTTACACACTGGAACCATCCGACAAGTTAGGTGCCTGCATGAAGGCAGTAAGGCTTATGGACAATGCTACACCTGAACCTGGTAAGTCAAAATCTTGCCAAAAAGACGACAACACTCCTCAAGCATGTGTAAGGTCTATCAGACACAGGATGCTGCGTGACATGGGTTTTTTCTTTGGCCTGATGCAGTTTAAGAGATGAACTTTTAAGTCATTGAATCTTCAGCTAAAATGACCTTTAAGTGTTGTTGCTACATTTTATACACAGAGAGTTAGAGGAGAGGTAAACTCATTATTTCAATGAATGTATGTAAAACAGTGAGGTTTCAAACACTGTGAAACCACTATGTCCTTTATAAAATAAATACAGATCTACAGTAAGCAGTAAAAATTCAAATAATTGGATTCTGTTAATCTGTGGGGACATGGACTTAATACTGCATTTAATTTTCCTAAGTGGGAGGAAGATTATTGTAGGAAAGATACAAAGAACAGAGTCTGCTCGAATCATAGCAAATTCACAAGCTTAAACACACTAGGACAGTTATTAGTAACTATATCCGAGCATTTTGCTGTGTAAAATCTATAGTTATGAAACAAGCTAAAATACAGGTCTCCTCTGAATGCAATCAAAATAGTAATATCTATATTCCGTTACACATTTCCATCATTCTTTAAAAAAAAAAAAAAAGTGAACTTGCAAGGTAACAAGTGCCAGTCTCCTGTGATTCACTGAAGAAAGCTTACTTTTTAGGCACTTTATTTTACTCTTGAAAGAAACAAGCCACTCACTGATACACAGCCAATCTCCTTCCAGAATTTCTGATAGAAAAAATGAAATTCATTATCACCTACACTCTCATGGTCATAAAGGAGTAGTTGTTGTTGGGAGCTGCACTTGTTTACAATCTGTGGCTCCTGTGGGGAGAAGCATTTTAACATCAGAATTTAAGTTCTTCAAATGTAATATTTTCATGTCATAATTTGCTCTTTTGAAACAAAGCTTCTTCCGCACAGTTGCTCTTTCAATATTTTTTTTCCTGAAATTATTTTGAAATAAAATCAGAGTAGACAGCAACAGCTGCTTGGCATTTACAAAAACTCTGATAAATTTTGAGGGAGATTAAAACAGTTTTTATTTTTAAATAAAAGCTCTCCCTAAAAACCATGAATATGTACAGCATGCTTAGTTCAATGCCGCATTCACAGAATATCAACAGATTCATGCACTACGCAATTTCTTAATATTAAGAAATGTACCGTACTTTTAAAGAAATTGCTTTGAAAATATCATCCTTAAGGATGCTGAAACAAAACAGTCCACTAATATCTAGAGGTAAAATAGAAAATAATACTAATACTAATACTAATACTAATAATACATTGTCATAACAATTTTAATAGCTTTTAATATTTTAATGGAACTGACAAATCTTATGAAGGTATTTGGCATCTTCCACAAAACAGAGTTGTCATTCCTGTAACACTTTAATATTCCCTATGGCAGACTGTTGGAAGAGTTAACAGCACCAGCGTGGCTCAGCATGCAATAATTAAGCTGCTGTGCCTGTTGGGAGCCAGATACCCAAACCTGAATGTGTCTGCTGACTGAAGCACGGTCGCCTGTATACCAAAGTATGGTGCCAGCTCTCTCCCCACTCAACTCCAAAAACTTCTCAGCAGAGATTTTTTCTGACATATGTCTTGCCAAGCAATACCGAAGCAAATCAAACTAAAATGAACATGAGCTGCGAGTTAAGGAAAACAATTTTTTTTTTTTGCATGTGTTTTCCATAATCATCAGTTATTTAACTTAAAGACAATGCACTGTTTTTCCAAATAATCACTCCAAAGATGTCAATGAAACTCATGTATAATTAATTCTTCTTACTCTCTCTCCCTTACTTGTGTAATTCCATAGTACAAATCACTCCAGTGTCTAAACTACCCAAGTAATTAACACAACAAGAGTTTATTTTTTTCTCTCTCTTTCGGAGAAGGTAGATCTGCTTCATGAAAAAGTGACATAAAACTTCTATATATTTTTTTTCATTCTATTAATGCATTTGTGTGGTTAAATCAAAGCACTATTCTTACACCACCAGCAGTTAACATGTGTAACGCTGAGTTTTCATTATCATTCTGATTATCTGATCAGATTAAAATAAATGTCTTCCATTATCAGACTGAAAGCTCACCTTTTATTACTTTATTCCTGTAAGAATATGATCATGTTTTTGGAATAAAAATGACTGATTAATTTTTAAATATTTTCTCATTCTTGTTATTGATTAGTTTTAATCACTGGAGGAGTTTCGTGAACACCTTAGCAGATGTTTCTGTCTGCATGAGTATACAAACAAGTGTGTGCTTTAAAGAGTTAACATCTGCAAACTAACACTTGAAAGTTTTATTCTGCATCAAGTGAAAGGTGAATGGGGAGAAGGATATAAAGAAATCAACAAAAGAACAGTGTTCTTCTGGCTCTTTAATAGCAGACTATTAGTCTAATAGCATTTTTAAAGATGTAAACATAGTTGATGTTTAAAACAAAGCAAATTTCAGCTCGCTCTCACGTAATTATTTTGCCTCTGCAATGCTAAATGTAATTACAAACAACACAGGCATCCATCACTATAAAAGCACAATTTAAGATTCCCAGAGAACAGATAGGGAAAGGCATTGTTTTCACACAGTTCCCTTAGTCAAGCCGTAGTTTAAACAACACTGCCAATAAACAAGCGCACCAAGCCAACCTAAAGCAGACAGGGAAATATTCGCCTTAAATTTGATGCGGGGGATCCCGGGAGCCCCGCTCATCGCCGCTCGCAGGAGCACACCTCGGGGCAGCGAGAGCCGCCGCACGCGTCGCCACGGGACGGGGAGCGCTTAACCATTTCTCGTCCCGCTTTAGCACACAAGTCCTGCAGGCAGAGAAGCCCACGGGCACGGAGCAAGCTTAGCAGCTCTCCTGGCACGGCTACAGTGCCCGCTCAGGGGCTGGAAGCTGCCCCGTGCCCGCGTCCCTTTCGGGCCACCACCGTCAGGAGCCGCCTGGATGCCGCCCTCCCGCAGCCCCCCGCACCCTCTGGCTCCTGCTCGGCTCCTCCAGCGCAGGGACCGGAGCCGGGACAGGCTCCCAAAAACCTCCCCACGACGCCGCCAACCGCACATTGCTCGGGAGCCACCTCCGGCCGTGCCCTCGGGGCGCTCATCCCCGCGGCCGCTCCCGCAGCCCCCGCGGCACCTCCGGGCACCTCCGGGCAGCGGCGTCCCCACCGACCCCGGGGCAGCCCCGGGGGGGGTCCCGGGGGGTCCCCCCAGCCTCTTACCTGCTTGTCCAGCGCCGCCTCCCTGGCGCTGCCGGCGGCGGCTCCCTTGGGGACGGGCGCCCGCTCGCAGCTGCATCCCTCCAGCATGTACATGCCGGCGGGCCGGGCGCTCTGCTCGCTCTCGAAGTAGAAGAGCACGTTCTGGTAGAGGGCGAACCACTTGTCGTGCCAGCGGCTGGCCTCGGCCGCCTTCTTGCTCAGGTAGCCGCGCTTGGTGCCCTCCTTGCGGGCCAGCAGCGCCAGGTACAGGGCGTGCCCCTCGTTGTACCGCACGCTCTTCTGCATGGTGCCCCGCAGCCGCCCGGCATCGGACGGGCACCCACGGGCGCTCCCCGGCCCCCCGAGCCCCGAGCCCCGCACCCCGAGCTCCGCCCCGGCGTCGGGGCCGGGCGGCGGAGGGTAGGGGAAGGGGGGGGACGGGGGGAGAGAGAGAAAAGGGAGGGGGGTGCCCCCTTCGGGGCCGCTCCGTCACGTGTGGAGAGGTGGCGGTGGTGGCGGTGGTGGCGGTGGGGGGAGTCCCGGGGAGGGGGGATGAGCCGTAATCCGCTTTAAATCCGAGCGATTTAAAGAGCAAAGTCGCCGCCGCAGCGCACGGTCCCTCCCCGCGGGGGCGGCGCGGTTGCGGAGCGGGCACCGGGGGGGAGGGAGGTGGGGAGGAGGGGGGAGCGGGGTCCGCAGGGGGGTCGTCGGAGCCGGTGCTGGCTGCTCCCTGCGAAAACCCCTCCACGGGGGTCCGCCCGCGGGGTCTGCCCGCTTCGTTTTGGGGTCAGAGCAGGAGCCGGGAGCCGCCCCCGACACCCGCGGCTGCTCTTAGGGGCGAGGAGGAGCAGGCGAGAGCTGCGGGACCACCACCACCACGACCACCACGACCACCCCGGGGAGCCCCCACCCCGCCGGGAGCCCCTCTTTTTTTTCCGCCCCGCAGCCCCCGGGGCTCGGCGAGCCCCGCAGGGCAGCCCCCGGCCGTGCTCTCGGCGGGGCCAGACCCGGACTTGGCTCCGTGCCCCCCGCCAGGACCTAGCGGACCCTGCCCGCAAAGGACGGGCTCTGACACGGCCGGGAGGTGCCTGGCGGAAAGCGCAAGCGGTATGGAAATTTCCGCGAACTGAAGGACCCTGCCCTTAAATTTGCTGTACTGTTCAAGCATCCTTCTCTGGTTCTTTCACACACGCACACACGCGCAAAAATAAAAATAATAAAAAATAATAATAATAAAAAGGCATTTAGGCATTTAAAATTCTAGTTTACGAACGTGTTTTTGTCTGTTGCTTTGTTGGGCTCATGCAAACAGAGAAGATTGTTTTCTCTTGCTGGCCATCTGGAAAAAAAAAAAAAAAAAAAAAATGAAAATTGCAACAAAACGGCACGCCGTATCCTGCACAAAACGAGCGGGAAAACGTTGCCTGTGTGATCTCCCTCTCAGTGGTTTTGATTTTAAGTGTTACTGGCACAAACCCCGGACACACGTGGAGCTCTTTCTCTGAACATACAACTTTGAAGCAGACACAGAAATTCCGCTGGAACTGACTGGTCTCTGTTGCAGCTGGTGAGATCTGAGCATAACACACGATGTCCAGGGGAGCCCAGGTTTGGGATTGAAGACCACTCAAATGACAATCACACATGAAATAACTCATATCCGTGCATCTTGACAACTGGGTTCTTACTTGGCTCTTGCTTTGCATCTTTAACTTAGTTTCACTCCATTCTGTGCTGTCCGAGTCAGAATCAATTTGGTGTGTGAAATTTCACGAGATATCTTATATCTTGATACAAGTAAATGGCAAGGCAGTAAAATTAAGGGGAAAATGCAGGGTGCAGTTCAAAAGAGTTTTCAAATGCTTGACACCAAGTCTGTAGTTTGTCTCTTCTGAAACAAACGCGTCCTATGTCATGACCAAATGCTATAGTAGGAACTTACCTCTGCCAAAATAAGGTTTCAAGCTTTTGCCTCAGTTTAACTTATTTGTACATTAATGTACATTTTGCATAAGTCACAGATGATGATGTCTATTCTACCACCACAGCTAGAACATACATTTAAAAAAGGATGACAGGAGTTATTTCAACTACAAAATCAAGAAATCCTTTTACTACAATTTCTTCCAGACAAGCAGGCATTTTTCTTAAACTGAAAATGTTGAATATGTCATTGCATAGCAATCTGCAGGAATTATGAAGCGTCTAATGTTCCTGCTCACTACAGTGAACGCTGATTGTGTAACCGTCAGTTTGCCTTGTCCTTTATTGTTCAAAGCTCAACTTAGTTCTCAGTGATGTTTTCTTTATCATTTGATTGTTCTTATGAAAGCACAATCTAGTTTTGTTTTAAATATCTGTTACATATCTGCGCATCTATATAATACATCTAAACAAACACGTGTACGTAGATATGATTTTTTAAGTTACATTATCAAAAACAATAAAGAAGTGTGTTTTTTTTTCCTTTGTTCTTAAAGAAAGTCTATGAAAAATTCATGTGTATGAGTATGATCAAGCTGTATATGCAAACATGGATGTAAAGGAATCTGTTGATATAACTGATGTCACAGGGTTCTGAAGAAAAGAATACACAGATGAGCACGCTGTTTTACCTTGTCGTCATTATGTCTTCCTGAAGTAACGCTTCCTTTTTGTGTATTTTCTTTCCAGAGGATTAATTTATAAAACCACGTCCCTGGGTGTTGTGGCATTATACAACCCAAGGAGCTTTCTGTAAAACTGTGGTGACTGTCTGGAACATTATATCAGCAGAGATAATTTAACTCATTTTAGTCTATATTTACCTTGAAATTTTCATTGGGAAGTAATTCACTACGTGCCACTCAAAGCTGTCATAAATAGCAAAATATATAGCAATTGTTGATGCAGTTCTACCCAGAAGTGACCATGAGAGCTTGTGGGGGCAAGTCAGTGAGTTGTCACTCTTCTGAATGACAGGTGACAGGAAAATCTATTTCAGAATGTATGCAAAATGTAGGCCTCCATTCTGAGAAACAAGTTAAGATAAATTCTGCTAATGTGAGGGCAATAATAAATGCCTAAAGCAATGGAAAATGTTGTTATACTGTCACTTTCGTCTGTTTTTGCTTGTTTCTGCTGTATGTTGTTACAGACTCGGAATGCTTTCTCTTCGTTTGTCACTAGGTTGTGATAGTAAATCATTATTTACCTTTACATGTTAAGTTAATCTCTCAAATACAAAATAATTTTGTAATGCTGTTGAACAAATACTACAATATCTCATGGGGGAAAAATTAGATTTTGCTAAGAACTATATCTCCTATTACATATTGTGTGAAGAGTAGAAATGAACCAAAATCTTTGTAATTTTTCTTAAGATAACAGTTTTGCTAACATAGTAGTTTATCCTTTAAGGCACAAACTAGTGGTGATTCAAAAGGTATTTATAATATTTATCTGATATTTAATTATCCCATAATGCTGGAACTTTTTCTAACATATTATGATATACATCACTAGTATAGTAAGTCCCAAATACCTTGAAAATAACTATATTTTCTCATGTACAGAAAAGTCATTTACCTTTGACCATTCCCCTTTTAGAAGACTATAAACAGTTACGTGCTTGTTGAACCTACCTATTGATGTCATTTGACAAAATTTGCTTTTCTTATTTTATCAAGTCATTTTGGGGGTGTGGGGAGGAGGGGGATTTCCCTAGCTAACCAACTTTAAATCACTGTGCATATCAAGCTATTCTAATTCATCCCTCACGAGTACTTACTCTTTTAGAGAGTGGGAGTGGATGTTTGGGGTCAGCACTGTACCACGTAGTAAGTACACAAAGCACGGGTAGTGCCTCTGATGCCGTTTTCACTTCCTTCCAGAGAAGAACATTTGAACCCATTTTAAGCCAAAGGAGCGTGGTAGTTCTGTGTGTAGTGGAAACATCCAGCTACGAGACAGACCAGTGCTGCCCAGGTTCTTCGCAGCTCTGATTCACATGAACTGAAAGCTCTGCTGTACTGAAGGCTAACAAAGGGACTGCTCCTTTCAGCGGGAAATTTCGGCAGCCAGGTGGTATCCGCAGATCATTTACCTATATCCAGTTGAGGTCGTTGTTTAATGCATGAGCCTCTTTATGCTAAATGCTGCATAGACATGAGAAAAGGGTCTGTGTGCTGCCTATCATGATAGGCAGTGCTCTCAGAACACAACTAGCTTATTTGTTGCTGAGATTCGGGAAGAATGAGAGTGAAAAGAGATTTTAGAGGAACTTTTGAATGAAGCAATTTGGTGTCAGGAGAGGTCATTGGAGAGATTTTGCCTGTGGTCAAGGGCAGTGTGGAAAAATAGGAAGGACTACCAAAGGGTGTTCAAAACCAGGAAAAAATAGATAAATAAATAAAAATAAATAAAATAAAATAAAAAAGCAAGCTGTGATTAAGGGACTTAAAAAAAAAAATAAAGCAGTACTTAGGCAGGAGGCAAAAGCAAGTGGGTAGTGTAGGAAGTCTGCCTGATTGTCAGACTGATCCTAATGAGTGCACTGCAGATAAAGTGCAGAGGAAGCAGGAGAGGGTAGGAAGGGCCGGGGCGTTGCAGAAGACAGCATGAGGATCCTAACTGTGGGGAGCAGGGGAAGGAGCTGCTGGAATTGTTGGTGGAGAGAGGGCTGTGGGGAAGACAAAGTTAGGAGTGAGAGAGCATGACGGCTGTGGCTGCTGAAAGCAGGGGGCTGCTGAGAGGTGGGACTCAGGTGGGACAAGGGTGGGAAATGGGAACAAAAAGGACCGACACGTTGTGGGGTGGACTGCAGGTGGTGGTGGATGGTAATGTGGAAGAGGGGAGTTGGTCGGGTCGGTCCCATGCTGCAAATGAAGCAAGAGGATGAAGCAAGATTCTGTGCCTTCCTAACGCTGGAAGAAAAAGTGGCATCAGCAGTGCTGGTGGACTGAGTCACTTCTGAAATCACATCGGAAGGAAAAGATGCAGTTTTTGTCTTTAAGCCTGTTTTTAGCCAGTTCCTTTGTTCCAAAGACAGCACGGAGATGTAAACTGGGATTAAAACTGAAGAGCCAGCATTCAGCTTGTTGACCAAAGGTTTGATGATACAAGAACATACACGGGGAGTTTTCCATGCTTCCTTAATTAAAAGCTCCCAATGTGCCTTATGTAGGACATGTACAACAGGCATAAACTGAGCTCTAGATTTACAATGTAACACATAGTGAAAAAAATATTTCATAACTTTCTTCATGTGCCTGAAATTTTCATGGTGAAGCCTGTACTCACGTATGGGGAATGCGATTGTCAAAGCTGACTCTCAATTTTTCAGATTAGTGGCCGTCACTCCCCTTTTCCCTATTCCAAGAGCTGTGTAATGAGAATTTCACAGACCCGGTGATCAGTGCAGTACCCATACAAAGACCATTGTACTGTTGCTCACAAGCAGCCAAAGCATGAAACTGTCTCGACATTCTTGGGAGATAACTTAAATGAGTTCTTTAAATGTTCCAAAGACATTGGCATGTCATAACAGAGATTTCATAATGTTCTCCAAAT